ATAATTATAATGTTATATAAAATGTATAAAAAAGACATGCAAATTTTATTATGAGTTAATGAATTTGTCTAATATTACAACCAAAAAACGGATGATTAATTGGATGTATGTTTTGCGAGATATGGATGGCTTACGGAGTTAGTGGGCTGGCATTTTGCAACCTTACCTAATCTAAAGGACAAAAATATAAGTATATGTATATTTATAACTTGAGGTATTATTTTCTATGTTAATATTAATATGCGGACTAATCACTGAAATTAAAGTCATGATTATTAGCATAATTCTTATTAAGTCTTACTTTTTTGAGGCAAAAATAACTTATTTTGTATGAAAATAATACCCAGAATATACAGAATATAGTTATGTTTACTACACGAGTATATTCTGGGTATTAGACAATTCGTTATTTCCTTTCCTAATGCTATGAAAAACATTTTGTTTTGTCAATCATTTTCTTTTATATCCCTTTTCTATGCGATATTTGTTTCGATTCGTTGGCAAAACTTTTTTTTCTCAAACCTAAGCATCAATTTATTGATTAAAATAAGGAATATATGGAAAAAACACAGAATCGCCAGAAGAGATGGCAGGGCTTTATAACACCATTGGCCTGGGATTTGGATCTTACGCTGCCATACATTTATCACTTTAAATATATTACATACAGTACTACTCGCATATATTATTAGTTCATATGCCTGCTGACATAATTGGCGCGTTTAAATTACAAAAACTGTTTGCATGCATATTATTAAACATGGTCTCCATGTCTAGGCCACAGACCCCCTCCCGACGTGTTTGCGTATATTATTTGGCGAGAATAGCGTAACAAAAGGACTCGAAATTGTATTACTCGTTGAAATTGATGTCGAGAGAGACCTTACATGAGATGTTGTTTTATATAATATGAACCTCTAAAACATCTAAAAACATAATAAAGCACTAAATGTGTTGAGAGAAATCTATTTAAGCATAAAATTTTGTAGGAAATGTGTATATGTTTTGATAACATTAAAACAATGCGACAACAAAAATTATGTAATTATTATATTAGGCAAATATTTTGTTAATGCTGAACATTAGCATAGATTTCTACTATTAATATATTCTTAACATTGAGTTTATATTAATATTATGTATCTAGAAATGAATTACTTTAGGAAAAATAACATATTATGCCTACAATAGTGGAAAACTGTAGTGATTTTGGTTTTCTGAATTTTTATTAATGTTTTTATTAGCGAGATATGTATTATTAAGTTAGTAATTATTTTTATCGCTTTCGTAAGGAATTCCCTCATAAGAGGCATTCATTTATGAGTCGAGAATCTCTTTATGGACATATAATAACAACAAATATAATATAGATGTCAACAATAAACGGTTTGGTAATAAAAGTAGATTATAATATAATATTTGTGGTGAAACATTTTTGTATTAACCGAAAATGTGATAAAAACTGGAAATCAATATACGGTATATAATTTATATATAGCACAGAAATAGCGAAATAAAATGAAATAAAACATTCTCTCTCTCTCTCTCTCTCGACAGTCCTCTCCTTATCTATTATTTGTGTATTTCATTAAAGTTTTATAAAATATAATAAAATCTATTAAGGAGGATAGAGTATATAAGAAAGTACACCAAAAAATATAGTAATATAAATGGTTTTAAGATAGGAGTGATTGTCACAAATGTCATTGTCAGTGAATGTTGACCCCAACCATAAGAATAACATTTTCATTGACTCTATTAAATGACATTTTCCCATCATTTTTATACTTCAATTCAAAAATATTTTTATTAGAAATAGTGCAGAATTTCTTATTAAGTTTTCTAATATTTGATTTAAAAGCCAAAGGTTTTGCATATACACTCATTATTTATGCAAAATAAGTGTGAAACTTGTTAGGGTTTGGAGTATTAATTGAATGTTAACCTCAAAAGTTTATTAGCCAAACAAAAATTTAAACAAAAAAATTAACTTAATAACTTCATCATGATCAACAAAATCAAATTAAACAAATCAGTAAATTTAATAGTGGTTAAGTGTATATCAATAGCTTATAAATAAATTTATATATAGATAGCAAATACTATTTAATCACATAAATGGACATTAATCCGAATAGTCTTCAGATTCAAAATCAGACCAATTCATGCCTTCAGATCCAAAATCAGATCCACTCTCGTCTTCGTCGTCATTATCATCATCAGCCGATGGCTGCGAGTCAATTCATCTCCGGGTGTTTGCCATCAAACGACTCGTCATTCGCGGGCTTCTCGACAAACTGTCTTCTCGTGGCGTTTGCGTCCAAACCCTTATCCCTAACCTCTTCGCTATTGTCGTGTCGGGACTTCATCCGATCCTCTGCCAGAATACCCAACTGTGCGCTGAAATCCACTTCCACTTCGTCATCATCCCATCGCTTCGGCTTACGTCTAGTGGGCTGTTGTCTCGCGGATCCCGGTGTCGACTCCCTCTCATTGGCTGCCTCTTCATCGCCGGCTCTTAATGCGGCGATTACGTCGTCCAACTCCAGGGTCTCGGCCACCGGCGCCTTCGAGTTCACACAACTCGACGTTGATATGTCTGGCGTTGTTGACGGCACCGGTAGCTGTTTCGCGCTGTTATTATCACTACTCCTACGAGAGTCCCCTTTGCTATCCATTTGATACTTTTTAATTAGTAGTCGACTCTAAACGCCAGAAACACATTCACACAAAACAAATACAGCCAATGATTTAATGGTGAATATATTATCAGTAAAAAGTCAAATACTGTGTATTCATAAAACCCTACAAAAATTCACATTTAAAAAACTACTCGTTATAGTGAACCACGAGTTCATACATAGTTCATCGCCACTAATGGATAAAGAATTATGAATTTTGAGTACATAAGAAAGTATACAAAAATATAGTAATATAAATGGTTTATACTTTAAAGATAGGAGTGATTGTCGTTGAATGTTGACCTCAACCATAAGAATGGCACTTTCATTGACTCAATTAAATGACATTTTCCATCATTTTTATACTTCAACTCAAAAATATTTTCACAAGAAATAGTGCAGAATTTTTTATTAAATTCCCTAATATTTGATTTGAAAGCAAAAGGTTTTGCATAATATATTATACACTCATTATTTATGTACAAAAAGCGTGAAACTTGTTAAGGATGTGAAGTTATAATTGAAGTCTTAACCTCAAAAGTTATATTTTATATATAATATTATAAATCTTTGAGATTTATGAAAATATATTCATAATCGATCTTAATATTTGTTATATACTGTGCACGTGAAGTGTTATATACGGTATTATTTTTGTTGTATATACTTATAGCCAGGAATCGATACATTTGTTACAAACAAAATCACGGACTCTTAGGGAGGGAGAGACTGGAAGGAGTGCCAGAGGAATAACAGCCAGTAATTCAAGAAATCTCCAGAGTTTTTGCTGACATTTTGCTCGTGTTTTGTCATACAATGAGTTAACTCCGTGAACGCCGATAGGAAATGACTCTATTGTCTACACAACAAAAACGAGTTGTGTATTGATTTCTATAATTACAATACTTTTCTCTCTTTCTTTAATTCCGAGATTATTTGAGTCACTATTTTCCAGATATTGTTATGAGAGAGACGTTTTGGTCCATTACACCGACAGCTATTGAATTGTTTGGGCTATGAATGAAAAAATATTTCTGCTCCCGACTCATGAATTGATTAATTATAGCTTACATTACATTTTATATACATTTATATATACTGTATATAAATACTTGTATCAGTATTTTCAGTGCTGTATTTTCAATGCCTATCCCTTTTGCTGACAAATGGCTAAATAATGACATTTATATTTAACTATGCCTTTCGAGATGCAAATTAATATTTATTTTGTCCGCAAAATTATTCTGTAATTTACTTGAAATCTAATTAATGTGGCGAAATATTTATGACATTTTTAGGGCAAAGTTTGCCAAATTGCAAATAGGCATGACATGTTCAATAGGCATTCAACCCCGGTGATTTGTGTGCAAATTATTTATTTGATTCCCATTTGACTTTATCGGTGAAATGGCTGCGGCTTTCGCCAAAGCAATCACAGATAATTCAATTGTGTGTCAGCGGAACGACTGCATGATTTTGGGGCACAAATATCCGTCAAATACAGTGGCTTTTAGTATAGTAGTTGTCTCCGCGAAACATAAGTTTAAAGCGAAATATAATGGGAAAGGGAGGAGAAAAATGCTGTATTGAGAAAAAGATGTAGTGATGATGAAAATGGTTGTCAATTGTGTAGTGGATTGTGGAAGTGATTCACACATTGTTTGCAAATCCATTCGCTTATAAATTACACTACAATTCAGTGCCATTTGTATATAACCAGTGTATGTATGCAAGTGAACGGAGATTTCAATTTCGTTTTGTCTGAGGGCTAGTATTCTGGGCTCCAGTTACCCAAATGAAAGCTACAAGTCTTACGAGAAGTGTATTCATAAAAAATATTATTAATAAATCAATTGCAATGGCTTTTTTCGCTATGATATGTGAAAGACAAGCTGAGGGTTCAGACAATTCCAGTCATTGACTCTATCCGTGAAGAATACAACTCAAGTTTGAAGAGGATTTGAGAGAGAGAGAGAGAGAGAGAGAGAGAGAGAGAGAGAGAGATGTATGTGAGATATGTTCTGGGCAAAAATCGATATCTGCTGGTGACGTAATGGTACGCCAAATCACTAGACCTTTGATAGTAAGGGCTCTCTCTCCCATAGTATGGCTCGTATAGTGTGCAAAGTGAATGGCAATATGCAATGCATTGTAAGAGTGGCAACAAAACTATATCCAAATTAAAGCGAGTACTGCATCGCGAGTCCACAATCTCTCTCTCACTGTGTGTATGTGTATGAGTGACACGAGAATTGCATTTTATGGTAACATTCATCCAATGCATTCACTTAGCAGTCATTGCCATTAATAGTAGTCGTGTTGCCGGCATTTGCAGCTATTAAAAGCATTGCTTAGCGTATTAAAAAAGTGTTGGACTAATGAGTGGATACAGTGAAGAATATTCTTTAAAATAGTGGCAGAATTTGGTACTCAAAAAATGGGTGCGGATGTGAAGCTTCGCCATCAAAGTCACGCAGTATTGGCTAAAGTAGTGATAATTTTATGGCACTTAATGACAATCAATGGCTACAGCACTGATTTACTGTCAGTGCCCGAGCGTATACCGATCGGTGAGTAGTTTTGTATGTGCGCTAGGATAATTATCATTAATTTTAATAATTGCCAAATCAATAATAATTGGATTAACGGGCGCCGACAGCTTAGACGTACAGCTGTCATATAAGTTAGACGTGGAGTTTATATGGTAAGGGATTGGGAGGCAAAAGAGTTTACCATTAATTAAAAACTCATCAGTTTCTGTGTATATGTGTGTGCGTCTGGTATGCCATGAAATTAGTTGGGCGTAGACCTCGCTGGTGGTGATGATGAGGTTAACTACCATTTTCTCTGATGGCATCCCCTCCCGCAACACCTTAACCATAGATGCTATGTATAGTTCGTGTGTATAACTATGGTTGAGCTCCCAATCCATCCATGTTTTCTCAATTCCCATCCCTATTCTTATACACAGTTTTCATATACAGTATATATATATATATATATATATATAACTTATATATATCTGAATATTTGAATAAGAATTCTGCGGTTTTTGATGTTGAATACAATCACTTCATGTGTGTATGAATTGATATATTTTTTCGTTGAATCAATATTTGGGTATATTTTTAAGCCATTTATATTTGAATACACTTTATTCAATGGTAAATATTCTGTGGACTGCATCGCGAGTAGATATATGGTGTGGTCGCCACAAATCAATGCATTTTCAAAGTCAGTGTTTAATTTGTATTTAAGACACCGTTTTTGGCTAAACATCGTCAGGAATAGCCAACTCGAGCGCATACACTCTGCTAATCACTTGTGTCAACAGTACGCTAAACCACTGTTTTATTAAACATTTTCCCAATAGTGTATTCCTTATGCAATTTGGAGCTTATGTTTAATGAAATACTATTCTTTTGCAATACAATAAATTATAGCCCAAACGCTTTGAATCAAACAATACAACTGCAAACAGCATTTTAATTAGACATATGAGCAGAGATATTATAGTGAATATTAGTTTTTTCCAAATGAATGACATAAAAGAGAGGGAGAAAAGTAGTATTATATTAATATTTATTTGAAAACGAGTAGTAAAATGATCCCAGAATTTGGCGTTTAATATATGATGTGCGCGAAGAATATAAAGAATATATTCAATGCAGTAGTCGTTATTGAAAATGAATGCATGAATACATGTAAACATTATACATATATTGAAAGCCATTCCCCGTCTCTACCCTATTATATATGATATTTGCGACAAAAATATTATGTCTCACATAATAGTTGCTTACCATTTAGGCAGACATTAACAAATACAGCTAATGTCTAGTAGCGATGCCATTAACAAATATATTTATATAGCATGAGTCCGGCTATAATTAGATGGAGTGACCAAAAGATTCAGTCGATTGATTGACCAATCATTTGTGTATTCACTGGGAGGCAAAGTGCAGTGTCTCTCTAGTCCAGGGCTACTGGTGCTCTCAATTCATAGTATATTCTTTGATTTATTGGACTTTTTTGTATGCCATTCGCCGGTGGAGGAGTCAGTGAGTGAGTGAGCCCTACAATCACATCAATAAACACATCCGAAGCCGACGTTAAGCTTCAATTGACATTAGCTTTGGGTCTCGAAAAGAAATCCGCGAAAACATAAGTTACTCTTTAAATGCAGACAATCAGTGATATAAACAGCGAGACATTGACTCTCACTTACTTTTCCAACTCGTTTTCTCAATACACACACTGTTTGCTCATTAAATGTTAATTTTATCTTTTCTCTCACTTGTCTTATAAAATAAATACAAACAATACTTCTTAATGCCATTGAAAAGCGATTGGATGTCTTATATAACATCGGCGAGAAAAGGCATTTATTTAATATATTTATCGCTATATATATTTCTATTAGCACCCCGGTGTACTACTTTATATATAGTCGGTGTAAATAAATCTAAATTTGCAAACATCGCAAATGACAAGCGATTCAATTATTGCAAAAAATTGAATTTCACTTCATGTTAAACACCATTTCCATTCAATACTTATACAATATTTATAGTTAGATGTTATATAAGTACATAAGACATGGACTGATATAAGCCGTGCGCCACTACACTGTATATACTAGTATATAAATTTATATATAAATCTATGGTGTATACCATTTTTCATCTTCAATATAACGGCCCCTTATTTAACATGAGAGGGCTTTTTAGTTCATATAGTCGACTGCACTCCTCTTATATCCACCAACAGATCCCTGAGCCTAACAAATATTGATTGCCATTTCACTTGTTTCCCAAACACCACTACTGAGTGGTCTCTCATAATAGTGACCAACAATTGCTTACTTATCGATAGTTTTGCAGCGAAAATGCCATAAAGTAATCACTACAACGACAATATTATTTATAATAAGTTTTTTAGGAGTTTAGCTTTTTTTGACATTTATAATTGCGGTGTTAATGGTGTATATACAAGATATAAACGTATGCATTATTTAGTAGCCCACGGAAACAAATATTGAATATTTTAGCGCATATTTAGTGTGTATATAAATTTTACTGGTGAAAAATGCGTGTATATGCATGCATAGTGTAATTAAATAATTATTAGTGCCCCACAATACCAATACTTAAATCTCTATAGCATTTTGTTGCCATCGGTTTCGGTTGAATGCTTAGCGCATTAAATTTGCGCCAGTTGATTTTATAATGTCAAAATCGCTTTTGAAATAAATTACTTTTTGTTGCCCACAAAAAAAAGTAAATTAATGAACACTTAATGAATTAGTTAAACATTAGCGGTGTTCCCTCCTAATCCCTCCAAAAAAATTTATGATCTGTTACTCCGTTGATAGCGCCGGTAGTGAGTCGTTATAAAAAAAAGTTTTATCTCAAAAACAAAATCCCATTAGATTTCGGAGACCCTAAGTGTCGGTCCTGTCGATAGTCTATTACAACTCCCCTAATGGCCATTCACGTGCTGTTACTTTATGGATGGCATCACCTGATGGTACTGTAAGACCACAGTTATTGTGTGCGCCCATACTATTTGATCGCTAAACCATAGCAACAATAGATATAGTCAGCGGGAATCAGACATACAAACAATGTTACAATCAATTCTCATCTAATAATGCATTCTCGCTATTGTATCGATACTATGGAGAGAGAGAGAGAGAGAGAGAGAGAGAGAAGTTGAGTATATTTTTATGAATGAGAGAGAATTTTTCGTTTTGGGAAACGCGAGTCTATTTTGATCGCTAAAAGCTATTTTGATATTGAAAAACATACATTTTAATGATTGACAAAATTCTATACAAAAATATTCAGCCAAACATTTTATACTTTTTTATACATGTTATACTTTTGCACCAGTAGCTACTACGGTAGTAGCACCAGAATAGATCCTATTGTGTGTGTAATATATTATGCGGTATTTTATATTTTTTTAGCACTCGATGTGTGATATATTGTATAATATATCTTATATTTTTGGTGTTTGTATTGTACGACCGTTTAGGCGCACTGTTTGATCACAAGCACCAGAACCTGCAGACAATCTTCAAACAAGCCATACATCAGCACAACTCCAACGCGTCGCTGAAGTTCATTGTGGAGACGGCACAGGAATTTGTCGATCACAACGACCCGACCCGTGTTGTCCGACAGTGTATGCCATACAACCATATCATTAATATTATAGATTATATGCTGTGTGTTGGAAATGGATCGAGAAATAGATTACTTGTTTAGGAGGGCTATTGAGTTGGAGAGTGAGTGAAACACATGAATGAGTGAATAATTGAAAGAACGAGAGAGAGAGAGAGAGAGAGAGAGAGAGAGAGACTGAGAGAGAGGAACTGGAGATGAATGGAAAGTGTGCCGCGAATGAGGGAATGGGTGAGAAGTGGAGAGACAGCTGTCAGAAAGACATCACTTTTTTTTGTCTCTGGGATGGCCACCGATATTATATGAATCATCGGAGGCAGCCATTGAATCGTCGAGTTTTGCATTTAATTTCCATATCTTTTCAGTGCAATGCCTTCACTTCAATCGAGGCATCTATGCCTTACTCGCACCGCATTTCGAGGCCTATGCCTACAAGTCGGCCCTATCTTTCGCTAATACTTATCGGGTATGAAACACATTATGCATAATATTATACACTATTATTAAAACTTTGAAATTGAATTCAATGGTAATACGAGTAATTGAAAAGCTTTTAGGCACTAGTCGTGTAGTCAATACTCTCATAAACACCGGCTTATAGATAGTGTCGACACAATTGATGTATAATTTGGTCGTCTGTTTACGAATTAATAATTCAAAAGGCATTATAATAGCAGCACTTTTGTGTCCAAAATTGATTAAAACGCTCCGACAATAAGACAATAGAGTCATTTCCTATCGGCGTTCACGGAGTTAACTCATTGTATGACAAAACACGAGCAAAATGTCAGCAAAAACTCTGGAGATTTCTTGAATTACTGGCTGTTATTCCTCTGGCACTCCTCCAGTCTCTCCCTCCCTAAGAGTCCGTGATTTTGTTTGTAACAAATGTATCGATTCCTGGCTATAAGTATATACAACAAAATAATACCGTATATAACACTCACGTGCACAGTATATAACAAATATTAAGATCGATTATGAATATATTTTCATAAATCTCAAAGATTTATAATATTATATATAAAATATAACTTTTAAGGTTAAGACTTCAATTATAACTTCACATCCTTAACAAGTTTCACGCTTTTTGTGCATAAATAATGAGTGTATAATATATTATGCAAAACCTTTTGCTTTCAAATAAAATATTAGGGAATTTAATAAAAAATTCTGCACTATTTCTTGTGAAAATATTTTTGAGTTGAAGTATAAAAATGATGGAAAATGTCATTTAATTGAGTCAATGAAAATGCCATTCTTATGGTTGAGGTCAACATTCAACGACAATCACTCCTATCTTTAAAGTATAAACCATTTATATTACTATATTTTTGTGTACTTTCTTATGTACTCAAAATTCATAATTCTTTATCCATTAGTGGCGGTGAACTATGTATTAACTCGTGGTTCACTATAACGAGTAGTTTTTTAAATGTGAATTTTTGTAGGGTTTTATGAATACACAGTATTTGACTTTTTACTGATAATATATTCACCATTAAATCATTGGCTGTATTTGTTTTGTGTGAATGTTTCTGGCGTTTAGAGTCGACTACTAATTAAAAAGTATCAAATGGATAGCAAAGGGGACTCTCGTAGGAGTAGTGATAATAACAACGGGAAACGGCTACCGGTGCCGTCAACAACGCCAGACATATCAACGTCGAGTTGTGTGAACTCGAAGGCGCCGGCGGCCGAGACCCTGGAGTTGGACGACGTGATCGCCGCGTTAAGAGCCGGCGATGAAGAGGCAGCCAATGAGAGGGAGTCGACGCCGGGATCCGCGAGACAACAGCCCACTAGACGTAAGCCGATGCGATGGGATGACGACGAAGTGGAAGTGGATTTCAGCGCACAGTTGGGTATTCTGGCAGAGGATCGGATGAAGTCCCGACACGACAATAGCGAAGAGGTTAGGGATAAGGGTTTGGACGCAAGCGCCACGAGAAGACAGTTTGTCGAGAAGCCCGCGAATGACGAGTCGTTTGATGGCAAACACCCGGAGATGAATTACTCGCAGCCATCGGCTGAAGACAATAATGATGACGAAGACGAGAGTGGATCTGATTTAGGATCTGAAGGCAAGAGTTGGTCTGATTTTGAATCTGAAGACTATTTGGATTGATGTCCATTTTTGTAATTAAATAGTATTTGCTATCTATATATAAATTTATTTATAAGCTATTGATATACACTTAACCACTATTAAATTTACTGATTTGTTTAATTTGATTTTGTTGATCATGATGAAGTTATCAAGTTAATTTTGTTGTTTAAATTTTTGTTTAAATTTTTGTTTGGCTAATAAACTTTTGAGGTTAACATTCAATTAATACTCCAAACCCTAACAAGTTTCACACTTATTTTGCATAAATAATGAGTGTATATGCAAAACCTTTGGCTTT